AGTGAATTCAAGTATCAGAGATAAAGTTAGAAAGGATTAGAAGCAAAGAAAAGTGATAACAAACATCTAAAAGTCTAAAACTTAATCTAGCAAGGTACAGTCTCAATTCAAGATTACTTTCTTCACTCACAGTCTTCCAGCAAGATGATGTTTGACACCCCCACACCTCCACCAAGATCTCTTCCAGAAGCCCCAAAATGCTGGTTCCTTTGTCTTTGTGAAACAGATAACTCGGGGGTATTCTGCCCCTTTCTTTTATAGTCCACTGAACCTTTGAAACGGAGTCTTCTGAAGGTTACCCATCAAGGTAAAGTTTATTCAAGTTGTGAGGAAGGTGAAATGGAGTCTAGTGGCCAAGGAAGGTATACATTTAAGTTGAGCCTCTATTATGGTGTCTTTGAAAAGTGTCCATGCAGCTTACAGGGTCACTCTAGTCACTGTACCTTTAATTTCTGTTTAACTAACCTCCTCATTTTTGCATAGTTCCCCTTTCTGAAATTAAATGCCACATTGTTGGGCTGTTGAGGTGTTCTTCCCACCACAGGAATGTTAAATGTTATTATATTATGGTCACTATTTCCAAGCAGTCCTGTTATAGTTACCACTTGGACCAGATCCTGCGCTCCACTCAGGACTAGATCTAGAGTTGCCTCTCCCCTTCCTGTACCAGCTGCTCCAAGAAGCAGTAATTTAAAGTATCGAGAAATTTTGTCTCTGCATGTTGTCCTGAGATGACATGTACCCAGTCAATATGGGGATAATTGAAATCCCCCACTACTATTGAGTATTTTGATAGCCTCTCTAATCTCCCTTAGCATTTCATCATCACTATCACTGTCCTGGTCAGGTGGTTGATAATAGATCACTAGTGTTATATTCTTATTAGAGCCTGGAATTACTATCCATAGAGAGTCTATGGAATATGTGGATTCATTTAAGATTTTTATTTCATTTGATTCTACATTTTCTTTCAAATATAGTGTCCCCCACCCCCCGCACAACCTGTTCTGTCCTTCCGATATATTTTGTACCCCAGAATGATTGTGTCCCATTGATTGTCCTCGCTCCACCAGGTTTCTGGGATGCCTATTATATCAATATCCTCCTTTAACACGAGGCACTCTAGTTCATCCATCTTACTATTTAGACTTCTAGCATTTGTGTACAAGCACTTTAAAAACTTGTCACTGTGTATTTGTCTGCCCTTTTCTGATGTGTCAGATTCTTTATGTGAATGTTTCTTGTCTGATCTGGCCCATACTTTATCCTCTTCTATCCTCTCCTCCTGACTAAAACCTAGAGAATCTCTATCAATAGACTCTCCTCTAAGAGGAGTCTCTGTCTGATCCATGTGCACCTCTGCAGCAATCGGCTTCCCACCCCCCAATCCCCGTCTCTTGGTTTAAAAACTGCTCTGCAACCTTTTCAATGTTAAGGGCCAGCAGCCTGGATCCACTCTGGTTTAGGTGGAGCCCATCCTTCCTCTATAGGCTCCCCCATCCCAAAAGTTTCCCCAGTTCCTAATAAATCTAACCCCCTTCTCCCTACACCATTGTCTCATCCACGCATTGGGACTCTGAAGATCTGCCTGCCTCCCTGCCCCTGCGCATGAACTGCCAGCATTTCTGAGAATGCCACCCTAGAGGTCCTGGATTTCAGTCTCTTTCCTAGTAGCCTAAATTTGGTGTCCAGGATGTCTCTCCTACCCTTCCCTAGGTCATTGGCACCTACATGTACCATGGCCACTGGCTCCTCCCCAGCACTACACATAAGTCTATCTAGATGCCTCAAGAGATCCGCAACCTTCGCGCCAGGCAGGCAAGTCACCATATGGTTCTCCTGGTGATCACAAACCCAGCTATCTATGTTTCTAATGATCAAATCTCTCATTACTAACACCTGCCTTTTCCTAATGACTGGAGTTCCCTCCCCCAGAGAGGTAACCTCAGTGCGAGAGGATTCTTCTTTCAGTTAAGAGCTCTAGGGCAGCAGCAGTGTGAAATAATACTCCTTTTTGGCAATTTAATATGCCTGACTTCCCTCTCTGTCTGGCTTTACGCCGCCATCCACTGTGACTCAATTATCTTCACTTAAGTTACTAATTTTCATCAGATGAAGTGACAGGAGAATCAATGCCATGGAAATTCAAGTTATCCAACCCCACACACCCCTCTATCCATCCTACCATACCCATCCATCCATCCAGAGGCAGGAGGAGATATATGGATCCAGGTCACTGTGAGAGCCAGGAGCAAGCCATGAAGGGGGCGGTTAGTTATTTGCACTTGTGCAAAGCTCCCAAGACTTCTCCATGCCCACAAACTGCAGGCAGCATTTTACAACCACTTGACACAGAGGTAAATAATTACACAAATTGGACAGTCATGCACACTCAAGCCTTGACTTCTAACAGATGCTGCAGCAATGAGCACGTCATAAGAATCCATCGAGAATTGTATATAGATTAGAATATGTTACTTAATGCAAAATAAGGTGGGGGCTGGGACATATTAAAAATCTAAAAGAAAAAAATAACCAGTAATTGTTGGTAACTCTGGATGGAAGGAGCAACTTCAGTGCTAAGCAGAAGCCGTAGGGGAAGTAGCACTGACCTGAAACGCCAGGGTGTTTGCAGCTTGAAGTAATGACCTCTTATTTCGAGGGCTGGATGACCAGGATTCAGGTCCCAGAGCTCAGATTCATCTCTGTATTTTCTCCACAACATGGATTCTCTCACTAAAGAGCCTAACGTCCCAGGAGCTGGGACTGGATGGCAGGGGATAGATCACTCGGTAATTGCCCTGTTCTGTGCATTCCCTCTGGGGCACCTGGCATTGGCCACTGGCAGAAGACAGGATACTGGGCTAGATGGACCATTGGTCTAATGCCATATGGTTGTTCTTAGTATGAGCACAAGCCACAATCTCATGTGGAAGAACATGCTCCTTATAAAGTTGAGATGATTGCTCATATTGGTACCTTTTCAGGAGAAGACTGTATCTCTCCTGACAGGGTTTGTGAAAGAGATTTAAATGACCGAGTCTGCAGAGTTATTTCTATGTCTTTTGTGTAGATGGCACAAACAACAGCCCTGATGCAGACAACTTTCTAAGTCACATGAGCTCTCTCTGCTGATATCTCATCACTGGGGATGGTCAAAAACAATGCTGAGAAATACTTTTCTGAAGGAAATTTGGGATTTTAACTATGGGACAATTTCACACAAATTGTTGACTTTCCTCAAAAGGTTTTGATTTTTTTTTTAAATTGGAAAACCTAAAAAAAAGAAAAAAAAGCCCAGAAATTAGGTTTTGGACCAATGGATAGTGGGTTAAGTAAGTTTTCAGCTAAAGTTTTTTGGCTTTTCAAACATTTTTTTTTTTTTAGTTTTCAGCAGAAAACAATTTTTTTGTGGATGATAAATTGAAATTTCAATCAAAAAAACATTCTACGGGGACAAAAGAACTCCTGCTAGTTTTACTGCTGATATTAAAATTATAATGTATTATTTGCATTGTGCAATCAGCAAAGATCCCCAGTCATGGCCCAGAACCCCATTGCACTAGGTGCTGTACAAACACAGGATGAGCTGATTGCTCTCAATGGCTGAAAAGTAACTTTGACTCCTGTTATGTCCCAGAGCAGGCTAACCGGCCTCACTCCAGCTGTCCTTATTCACACCAGCACCTCTAACCACTAGGCAACAGACTCATTCTCTTTGTGGTTGCTCTGTCTCTCTCTCTCTCTCTGGCCCATGGGCTCTTTATTTATTTATCCTCAGTGGAATAACTTCAAAAGGAGAGAATTCATTGAATGCTAGATCACAGCCAAAGTGAAAGGAGAGCTGTGGCCATTAGCTTCAGTGGAGTTAACTCCTGAGTTATTTATACCCAGCGTAAAGTCTCATGCCTGTTCCATTTACTGTTTGATATATTCTCCTGCTCACACTCACCTGCTGCTTTACCTTGATGAATTCAGGGAGGGCTAATCCAGCAGGGAAAGGATCTGGGGCCACCCTGAAGATCAGTTTAAAATAACATTAAATGCCAAGGTCCTGAGAACAATCCAGGATCTGTATTCATTGGCTTTTCAAACAGATTTCATTCTGCTTGCAGGGTGTCTCTGAAAGCTCTGTGCTTGCAATCCCACCTCCAGTTGGACTGAGCTCACAAGTGTCAGATCTGTAAGCACATGCCATACTGCCGGTGCTGAAGAACCAGCTCCAACAGCTGAAAGTCTGCAGAAGACTCATAGTTTATACATGATCTAGTCACTAGAGGGGGACAAACAGCCTGACAAGGCTACCGTGGGTTATGCAATGCCCCAGACTGCAGGAGCTCGTGCCAAGCAGCAGAGACCAATGTCAGTTCAAATCCCTCTGGGGCCAGCACTTTGTCACTCCGCTTGCTTCTTCTCAGCCAGATGGATGAAGAGGGTCAGACTTGAGCATTTGCAACATGCGGCTCTTAACATCATGAATATTTGAGTCTTCATGTTCATATTGGTACCCTGCACCCAGGGGAAATTGGAAAATTTGGGGAAAAATGGAAATGTTGGAAAAAAATTGGTGACATGATTCTGTTCCCAGTTACATCTGTATGAAACTGGACCGATTCCAGTGACTAGAATGGATTGGAACAGAAAACTCATCATTACTCCTCTTCTTTTCTTTCATTTTTATCTGGTTTTTAAATCAGAATTTACCAGTGAAAAACATGATCAAAATGTTCCATTTATCCAAAATATTGGTTTCTGTTAAAAAAGGTGCTAACTATTTCAACAACATTTTCAATAACATTTTCACAAAACATAAAACCTAGAACTTAGAAATTAAAATGATTCCTCCCCCACAAAACTAGGTTATCATTTTTCTAACCCCTCTATGTATCAAAGGCCCAATAGCATGATAAGAGCTAGGGGAGATGGCTTTTACCACAGGTGTTAGGTGCTTGTGCTTTTGCAGGCTATTTCTAGGATGGAGGCACTGTGTGCAAATGCTGTGATGTTTATAGGCTTTATTGATTGAACATTAATTGTGCAACAGGAGACAAAGTTATCTGGCATCACACAGAGCAGAGACTGATTGAGCAATAATTCACAACAGCAAGCAAAGACTGATTTATACCAAGAGAGAATTTTTCTTTGACTAATGCACAGAATCAGAATTCCTCGACTAAAGTGCAGTCACATCATGGGCTTAACTAACAAGCTAGGGACTAGTGCTTTCATAGCAGAAGCTGAGACTCCTCTCCCCACTGTGATCCCAAATAATGACATTTTCCAGCCAGGTGACAATTCTGTAGTTTTCAGAATCTACTGGGTGGCTTTAATGTATACAGGACATAGATGAAAAAGTCTTCTTAAGACCTTGCCTTCTTGCTGGAGCAAGCCACAATGTGTTTGATCTCTTGCAGAATCTTGTCTTTGTTGTTCGACACATTCATCCTGGCTGACTGAAGGAGTTTTTGGACGTCTCCCTCGTTGTAGAGAAAGCGAACGGGGCTGAATCTAATTCTCCATTCCTTCACATAGCCTGAAAGCAAAGAGAGAGAAGATGTGAATATGTTTTTAGGATGAGGATATTAATGTTACTAATGTAGTGTTAATAACAACTACGATTATTTTTAGGACTGAAAACACAGGTAGATATCTTTATGGATATTTCAAAGATTCACATTTAAAATAGTTAAAATTAAAACAATGGATGGGATATAGGGCCAGATTTTCAGAGGTATTTAGGTGTGGAAAGATAGGCGACAAGTGAGATTTTTGAAAGCACCTGTGTAGGTTAGATAGGTTAGGTGCCTAATTCACTCAGGCACTTTGTAAATCCCACTAGGTGTCTAGCTGCATCTATAGTCACCTAAATACCTTTAAAAATTGAAATGTTCACAGTTCAGTGCAGAAAAAACAAAACAAACCAGAGGCTAGTAACAAACATCCCATATGGCAGATAACTCCATAACTACCTCCTCTGTGATTTCTCCCAACTTCCTCTTAAGTTTCTATCACTGGCTACTCTAAGACAGGACACCAGACGAGATGAATGTGACTTATTTTCCCAATCCCTATGTCCCTTTACTACACTACCCCAGCGCAAACCAGACTCAGCTGTATTTAAGTCACCCACGTAAGTGAAATAAGAGTGAGGCCAGGAGCCTTTAAGAAAGTTGGCGTGACATGAAAGTTACCCGGGCAATTCACTTTGTTGAAAAGTGGGAGATGCATGACAGTAGGAGCACCCTCTCCTCTGAAGATGTAGCAGTCAGACGGGTTATCTGTGTCTTGGAGCAAGTTCTCGTCCACCTTAGGAAATGGGATGTGGTTATCTTCACAGTATTTGGCAGCTTGCTTGAGTGTCTAAGAGCAAGGGAAATGTGATTGTTTTATTTAAAAGAACCACAGAAGGTCAAATACTCAAGACCAGGTAGTTCAAAACACAAGAAGTCTAACTTTCTCTCTGAGGCCTCTAATAAATTAACTAAGCAGAAAATCTTGTGGAAACCAGACCCTCTGCTCTTGGGATAGGAAGAATGTTTGCGTAGCAATACATGGCTGTCTACACAGAGACTCCCTGGCTGGGATTTCCAAAAAGCTAAAAGGAGCAAGAATTACCTCCCTGGAAAAGTCAATAGGAGCTGTGATTGAGACTTCTGAATTAGGGTAGTTATAAAATAGACTAGCGAATGAATATTAAAAACAGGTATGATTTGTTGATTTAAGGATTTGTTGATTTAAGTTACTAATGGTTACTTACGGCACCACAGCCATAAGCCTGGATCAAACATGGCACATTGAGTCCAGCATCCAGGCACAGAGCTAGAAGCTTCACAGCAGCCCACAGCTGTTCCACAGGGATAGATCTGAGTGGTTCAGTAGGACCCGAAAGGAGAGCTCTGTGTAAGCTCGAAAGCTTGTATCTCACGATAAAAGATGTTACCTCACCCAGCTTGGTTCAGTAGGAGACATTTTCCTCTATGGCTCAGTATTCACCCCTGTACTCATCACATCAAAGCTCAAGGCCACTAAAGGTTCATCTTTCAGTTTACAGATTTCCTTCCCTGTGGTCACTATGTGGTAGGTTTTCAAAGTCACCAAATCTGTTGCCTGACTCCCATTGATTAAGGCACCAAACTGTCCATTGTGCATTTGAAAATCTCCTTCAACAGAGATCCATTGGGCCATGTCACAAAAATACTAGATTTGACTCAAGTCTGCTGACCAACTTCCTACTTGGATGATTGGATTCTTTCCACTAAACATTCTCCCAGCAGGTTCAGAAGGGTCTGGGATTCTTTGCTCCCTTCCTGTCCTGAACTGTTCTCCATCAACTAAGTAAAGAAAATAATATTTGTTTTTTTAAAGATTCTAAACTCCTTTTTTGGATTCTTATCTCATGGGGTCAGGGCCAACAGATTTTTCTCTGTTCAAACATCACCCGGCATGATGGGCCCTCGATCCTAATTGGAACAACAGTAAAAATGGTAACAATGATAGAAGTTACCTTAAACGGATCACCAGGCCCATAGTCAAAGGAGAGGATCAGTTTCACTTTCCTGTCTTGGCGGAGAACCAGGGGGTAAGCACAGTTTATGGCTATGCCAGCATCAACCAAGGAGAAGATTTTATTGTTCACCAGCTCAGGGTTGCTAATACCAGCTAAAGAAATGTATCCAAAAATAGAGTTTTAATACTAAGAGATTAGAATCTGCACATGCCCAGTGATCCCAATAAGGCATGCGAACAAGATTTATAAATAATATTCACTGCACCTGTGCTTTGGTAAAGAGTCTGTATTCTCTGCCCATTACACAGTATAGCCGCCCCTTCCCCACCCCCACTCTCTGCTGCCGCCAGTTCCCGTTATACTTAATCTTTCTTATTCTTAATCCTTCCATCCCCTGGCCATTATATAGTACACTACATAGCACTGCTGGAAGCAGTACCGATAGTTAAGTTTGACTAACACTTCCCATCACCCTGTTCCCTGTTTTCAGTTTTCTTATGAGTTCGGGTGGGGGGGATATTATATAACCGTGTAATTAAAACTATATCATAATGCCTATGCAGAAGGCAGCTTTATTGCAATTGCATGGGCAACCTTAACTCTGACCTGCCCTAATCTTTGAGTGCTTGACTTTGCAATCGTAACATAATATTTAGTACATAATACTTTAGATTGGAAGTATTCAATTTTTATCTGTCAATAAACATGGAATCATAGAATCATAGAATATCAGGGTTGGAAGGGACCCCAGAAGGTCATCTAGTCCAACCCCCTGCTCGAAGCAGGACCAATTCCCAGTTAAATCATCCCAGCCAGGGCTTTGTCAAGCCTGACCTTAAAAACCTCTAAGGAAGGAGATTCTACCACCTCCCTAGGTAACGCATTCCAGTGTTTCACCACCCTCTTAGTGAAAAAGTTTTTCCTAATATCCAATCTAAACCTCCCCCACTGCAACTTGAGACCATTACTCCTCGTTCTGTCATCTGCTACCATTGAGAACAGTCTAGAGCCATCCTCTTTGGAACCCCCTTTCAGGTAGTTGAAAGCAGCTATCAAATCCCCCCTCATTCTTCTCTTCTGCAGGCTAAACAATCCCAGCTCCCTCAGCCTCTCCTCATAAGTCATGTGTTCCAGACCCCTAATCATTTTTGTTGCCCTTCGCTGGACTCTCTCCAATTTATCCACATCCTTCTTGTAGTATGGGGCCCAAAACTGGACACAGTACTCCAGATGAGGCCTCACCAATGTCGAATAGAGGGGAACGATCACGTCCCTCGATCTGCTCGCTATGCCCCTACTTATACATCCCAAAATGCCAGTGGCCTTCTTGGCAACAAGGGCACACTGCTGACTCATATCCAGCTTCTCGTCCACTGTCACCCCTAGGTCCTTTTCCGCAGAACTGCTGCCTAGCCATTCGGTCCGTAGTCTGTAGCTGTGCATTGGGTTCTTCCGTCCTAAGTGCAGGACCCTGCACTTATCCTTATTGAACCTCATCAGATTTCTTTTGGCCCAATCCTCCAATTTGTCTAGGTCCTTCTGTGTCCTTATAGTGCATTCATCCTTCTGCACCTTATAGTGCATTCATCCAGCCCATACTTCCTTAACTTGCTGACAAGAATACTGTGGGAGACCGTTTCAAAAGCTTTGCTAAAGTCAAGAAACAATACATCCACTGCTTTCCCTTCATCCACAGAACCAGTAATCTCATCATTCACCCTCTCTCTCTCTCTCTCTCTCTCTCTATATATATATATATATATATAAACCAAAGAAAACCTATTTCCACTGGTAATCAAAATGTACTTCTAGGCAAAGTAAGAAAAATGCTTCTTGAGAATGTATAGTCAAAATCCAGTGATTGAGACTTTTGAATTAGGGTAGTTATAAAATAGACTAGCAAATGAATATTAAAAACAGGTATGATTTGTTGATTTAAGGATATTTATTTTGTATATTTTGACATGTGATGTTGACAATTTGTGTTTTAATAGTAAAGAAAGATTTCACTTTTTGACTCTCAGTAGCTACTGTCATTAAACAATCGTTTGAGTCTCTCTGTAGATTTCAGTAACTGTGAAGATTTAAATCAATAAAAATAAAAAAAAAGTTTGAAATCCACAATTTCATGCAACTGTGAAAATTTGAATTAATAAACATTTTTTAAAAATGCTTAAAAATAAACATTGATATTGTCCGTCAAAATTTGTAAAAAAAATAAAAATTAAATTCTTCCAATCCTAAAAATACTGTATAGGAAGACAACTTTTTCCTATAGGTTTCTGTGTGATGTATTTACTGTCAAAACAGGCCCCTAGGAAAGAGACATCCATACCACAGAGTCACTAATCCGTATTTTACTTACAGCATTTGTAAAGAAAGTTACTATTGGTTCCCCATTTCCAGTGCAAGAGATCGTGAGTGGTTTTAGAGAACATCCTAGCTAAATCCACTGCTGAGCCTGTTAAAGGGCACAAATCAGAATTAAAATATCAGAGCTATGTATTACAACATATTCAGGAACTTCTGAAAATCAGAGTTTCTCTGATCTCGTATTTGCTAGTATAGCCAAGGAGCTGTGGGAAAAATTATGGTGTGTCTTTTATGGAGCAGAAACTGCAAAGCAAAGCAGATTCTAAGGAAAGTAAAGGGAACTCTTTCCTGAGACACAGAGAAGCTGTGGCATTCCCAGCATCCTGGATCCCACACTGTGCCCCATAATGACCCACCCATGCTTCTCTGATTAAGATGCCAAGTTCTCCCCTTCACAAAACACCTGCTGGAAGTTATAAATCATTTCCTATATTCCATCATGTGAGATATTGTAGCCTAGTTCTGTTAGCTGCTGAATTGAGCTGTGTAAATAACGGATTGTTCGGTTCCATGGCTAACCAAACAATTGTAATTTTAAAAAAAAGAGATTTTTTTTTTCAAATTTTTCAGCGAATAGAAAAAGTAAAAAAAAATAATCATTTTAGGTAGAATGAAATGTTTGGCTTGACTCACAATGAAACATTTCATTTTGTTTTTTTGAGATTTTAAAGGTGTTTTTTTAAGTGAAATTGAACACAATTTCTAAATAAAAAGTCTGTTTTAAACCAAAACATTTCACTTTGAAAATGTTGATATGAAATGTTTTGTGTTTGCTTGAAGTGCTTGGAAAATCTCAGCTCAGGAATAGGGGTTGGTGCATGTCTTCTCCATGTTGAGGGAGGGGCAGACTGGGTTATAATGACTGGTCAGGCTTCTGATCAGGGCAGGATGGTACAGTTGTGGTGTCCTAGGCTGGGGATCTGGGGGGCATTGGCTGGAGCCTCTCAGTTCTTGGTTCACGAGAAGCATTCATGTCACTCAGCTGGGGGTGTCCCTGCCTGTGGATGGCTGCGTAAGTGCAGTACCTGGAGGGCTTAGCAGCTTGTCACAGCATCACAGTGAGCAAGGGAGCCCAGGCTGGTAAGCAAGAGAGCCTAGCGGTACCCCAGTTCCAGGTTGCATCCCAGGGAACCCATCACACACACACAGCCAAAGCAGCCAAAATGGACAAAATCAATATGAGCCTCCTCTCCCGATAATCATTTTGAGTAAGTCTAAAAATTTTGGCCAACACAAAATGGGCTTTAGATGCCTAAATGCTTTTGAAAATACCACCAGACACCTCAATACCTTTAAAAATCTGATGCTAAGTGACTTAGGAGCATAAGTCCCACTGAAAGTCAACAGGGCTTGTGCTCTGATTCCCTTTACGTGCCTTTTGAAAACCCACCATACATCTGTCATGGTGTGACAGGCCCACATCTGTAAGGCAGGAATAATCATGTTACCCCAGCTGAAATGACATTCTGAAAACACATTCATCGACATTGGTGAAGGAGCCCAGAAACTTTTGTAAAGGGCACAACACAAAACTCTACACATAAATAGGGCTAGTCCAGAACTGCTTTGTCCTGAGCAGAAGTCTGTCAAAAACTGATTACATGAAAATTATTATTCACGAGGCAGGGTGTACAAGAGCCGAGGGATTTGTTTAATTCAGAAGTGCACTCGGCGTTAGTCTCTTCTCACAAAGACGCCAATAACACCTCATGCAGCTCGTGTATGAGAGGAGATTCAAATTCACACTTACCTATGCCAGTCACCACTTCTCCAATAATTGAACAGTCCGTAATACCTGAAAAATATATTTGGATTATCAGTCACTGACCATAATATAAATCACCTAGGAAACAAAATTCAGGGCACAATGAGTAAGGCCAAGTTAACATTTCCTGCAGGTTGTATCATGAGAAAGAAAAAAAGTGGTGGAACTATGTCTAATATACAGTATCTTCAATTCTTCTATAAATCTGTGTCGGTACTTTGCCACTTTTTCCTTTGCAATATATCTAAACTTACCCTTTGGCTAAAATCCTTTTCCCAGGCTCCACCATCTCTGTGAGCATCTCTGTAGCTTCCCTAATGCACAAAGACCTTCCCCCAACACACACCACACTCCAATCTGTCCACATTATAGCTGCTAAAATGACCTTTGCTTGGATTCTGATTAGCCAGTGTCCTCTTTGAATCTCTCCACTGCATCCTCCTTGCATATTAGAGGTTAAAATTCTCTTCCTCTTTTACAATGCCCCCTTGCAATTTCATTCTTGACTACTTGGACAGGATTCTAATTCTGCTTCTGGCTTTGCTAAAAGCTTTTTCTGTGACATTTGAGAAGTCACTTAGGCTAGGCTGTGCAAGGAAGTTATTACTTATACCCCACTGAAAGTCAGTTTTAACTTGTTTAGAGTCCGTTGAATTTCCCAACTTTATTTCTGATTGAACCCTCACTTTCCCATCCTGAATTTTCTTAAGGTTCTTCCGGTGACCATCGGAGAGTTGTCTACATTAATAAAGAAATATGAGCTTCCCACGAGGCTTTGGTGCTGAGCACACACTTAGAAAACAGAGAACATTACTCATGAGGATCATTTATGTCATTAACAATCTGGATATGATTATTCTCTCAGGGAGGAGCAGATCAGAAGCAATTCCACAGCTGTCAATGCAGTGCTGCTATAATGAAAATGTGTTAGCTGTCACTTTACTTGTAAGGGGTTTCCTGGTGATGATTGTAGGCTACAGGGGCTCTGAAGGAGGCATGTGATCAAGGTTTCTCAGCAGTCATTCTACAAAAAGCCAGCCTAGATCAAGGTGGAGACAGTTGTTCCTCTCTGCCATAGGGAGCAGCCTGCTTTTTCTCTGTTTTTGTTTTCTGTGTGTGAAGTTTCTGGATTTTAATTCCTCAAGGGCTTCTTTTCCATGGGTCCAGATGATGAAGATGTCATCAATATAGCACAAGTAGAGTAGGGTCATTAGGGGATGAGAGCTGAGGAAGCATTGTTCTAAGTCAGCCATAAAAATGTTGGCATACTGTGGGGCCATGCGGATACCCACAGCAGTACCACTGATTTGAAGGTATACATTCTCCCCAGGAAGATCACCGATGGATTGAAGTTTCCTCAGGAAGTCAGTGGTGTCTCGAAGGTAGCTGGGAGTGCTGGTAGCGTAGGGCCTGAGGAGGGAGTCTACATAGCCAGACAATCCTGCTGTCAGGGTGCCAATGCCTGAGATGATGGGGCGTCCAGGATTTCCAGGTTTATGGATCTTGGGTAGCAGATAGAATACCCCGGGTCAGGGTTCCAGGGGTGTGTCTGTGCGGATTTACAACCTATCCTGAAGGACGACCCATCACTCTCACAGATCTTGGGAGACAGGCCAGTCCTTGCCTACAGACAGCCTCCCAACCTGAAGCAAATATTCACCAGCAACCACACACCACACAACAGAACCAGTAACCCAGGAACCTATCCTTGCAACAAAGCCCATTGCCAACTGTGTCCACATATCTATTGAGGAGACACCATCAGAGGGCCTAATCACATCAGCCACACTATCAGAGGCTCATTCACCTGCACATCCACCAATGTGATATATGCCATCATGTGCCAGCAATGCCCCTCTGCCATGTACATTGGTCAAACTGGACAGTCTCTACGTAAAAGAATAAATGGACACAAATCAGACGTCAAGAATTATAACATTCAAAAACCAGTCGGAGAACACTTCAATCTCTTTGGTCACTCGATTACAGGCCTAAAAGTTGCAATTCTTCAACAAAAAAACTTTGAAAACAGACTCCAATGAGAGACTGCTGAATTGGAATTAATTTGCAAACTGGATACAATTAACTGAGGCTTGAATAGAGACTGGGAGTGGATGGGTCATTACACAAAGTAAAACTATTTCCCCACGTTTATTTCCCCCCCCTACTGTTCCTCAGACACTCTTGTCAACTGCTGGAAATGGCCCACTTTGATTATCACTGCAAAAGGTTCCCCCACCCCCCGTTCTCCTGCTGGTAATATCTCACCTTAAGTGATCACTCTCGTTACAGTGTGTATGGTAACACCCATTGTATCATATTCTCTGTGTATATAAATCTCTCCACTGTATTTTCCACTGAATGCATCTGATGAAATTAGCTGTAGCTCACGAAAGCTTGTGATCAAATAAATTTTTTAGTCGCTAAGGTGCCACAAGTCCTCCTTTTGTTTTTTAAAAGTAAAATTACATTGTAGCCTTCTAGCAAGAGTATTTAATGTTTTTTTTTAATCTACCTTCCCTGTTTGAATGCTGTGAACATAATAGCAATTATAGCTGTAGGGTCAGGGCCAGAGATCCAGGAATATATAAACGACCAGGGGAAAAGTTATGTGGTGAAGATCCTCCTGACTCACCCTATAAAGCACCTTCCATAGCACCTGAAAATGTCATAGGAATTTCCAGTCATTTCACACAGCCACAGACAAGAACACAAACATCTAAGGGCTGGCCTAGACCTAAAACATAGGTTGACTTAGTTACTTTACTCAGGGCTGTGAACAAGCCACACCCTGAGAGATGTAGCTAGACTGACCTAAGCCCCAGTATAGATACCACTAGGTTGATGGAATAATTCTTCCTTCAGCCTAGCTACTGCCTCTCGAGGGGGTGGTTTAACTACGGCGATGGAAAACCCCCTACTGTCGTTGTAGGAAGTATTCACAATACAGTACAACAGCACCATAGCTGTGCCACTGTAGCATCTGTAGTAGTACAGACAAGCCCTAAGAAACAATACTCAGATTACAACAAAGAAATTCATCATTAGCCCAAGGACAAAAATATTAGTTGAAATACCACAGGCTAGAATCTTCCCTCCTCTACCGCTAATCTGGATTGTCCAACATTTTGCCAGGGTTTTTTTTCATAGAATCATAGAATCATAGAATATAAGGGTTGGAAGGGACCCCAGAAGGTCATCTAGTCCAACCCCCTGCTTGAAGCTGGACCAATTCCCAGTTAAATCATCCCAGCCAGGGCTTTGTCAAGCCTGACCTTAAAAACCTCTAAGGAAGGAGATTCTACCACCTCCCTAGGTTCCTTTTCATCTTATGAAAAATTATCTCTTCCTGAGTGTGCACATGGCTAAAATCAGTGCCCAGACTTTATCATTTCCCCTCTCAACTACTGCATCCTCTTCCTCTATTGCTTCCACTATATATTTATTAATCCCTCTCTCGGAGGTTCAAAGTTTTACCCCTAATATCATCTTCCTCGACTGGCAATATAGACACATCAGCATTAGGGCTGATGGAAAGTATTCTGTCAAAACTGTTTTAGCTGCAAAATTAGGGTGTGAGGTGTTTGCGTTCTCAGGGATATTTTTATGAAAATCCCCAAAATTTCAATGAAAACAGAAATTTTATATTTTATATTTTTAAAATAATTCCATTTAATCAAAAAAGCTATTTTTCACACACACATGACCTGGTCTACTTTGTTGATTAGCACCATTGTGAATTCAATAAATAAAAAAATATATATTTATATATTTTCTTCTTGAGCCACCATTTGTCAAGCAGAAAGTGTGAGTGTTAATATTTATTGTAATGGATAACTAATAATTACAACATGATCAGCCCAATCCAGGTACAAATCAGAACCAAAATGACTGCTGTAAAGTAGAACAGGTACTTTACACACTTCCAGGAATATATTGCTATACTGAAACATATTAATAGCTGCCATAAGTGATTTCTTTGATCTGAAGACCACCACAGGCCTTTTCAGTGGGTCTGCCATGCATCCTTCAGACTTGTCAGAAGACACATATAAATCAGGCTACTTGGGAAACGGTTTTCCCGTTCCACAAGAATTTTGGAGATTTCCAACATTTTCCTTTCTCGAATTGAGACAAATTGTCAAAATCTCAAATTGTTTTGCAAATCAACATACCTCACTGTAAAAATCAGTTCCGATCAATTGAAACTTTTCATTTAAATTATTTTGAAATGTTTCATTTTGACTTTGAACTTTTAAAACGTTTCCCTTATTATAAATGACATTGAATTTCAAAATGAAAAGTCATTTTCAACTGAAAAAAAAAGAATTTTTTGATTTAAAATTTGCCAAAACAGAATTTTTCAACAATTTTGAAATTAATTTTTTCAACTTTATTTAGTTCGGATGTTAATCAAAATTGTCCCTTTCCAATGAACAGTTTCAGTTTTAGCAAAGTGGCTGAAAACCCCCCAACATTTTGTCAAAAACTTCCCAATCAGCTCTACAATTAAGAACATAAGAATGGTCACACTGGGTCAGATCAAAGGCCAATGCCAGGTGCTTCAGAGGGATCAAACAGACCAGGGCAATCACTGAGTGATCCATCCTCTGTTGCCCATTCCCACCTTCTGGGAATTACACCCTTTTAGCAAAACAAATGCATACAGTGGAGAGTGTTTACTGCCACAGGTCAGAGTTCAGCCATGCATCCTGAGGGGTTTCTCTGTTTGCAGATGCAGAGGCCACAATACTCGTTGAAGCCTGGATATCTCACAGGAAGAAAGCCAAGAGAAGGAGTTGTGAATGTGACCCTGAGAGGAAGCTCAGAGATAGAGCTACTTGGCACAGAGCCCACTGGAGTGGCAGATTTGGGGATCTGAACAAGGAAACTGCTGAGTTTTTTGTTTCTACTCTGTTCAGGGTGACAGGATTTAGTGTACATATTTTGTAAATAAAGGAGGTTAGATAAAATATAGATGATACCAGTCAGGTATTTTTCCTCTTAACAAAATGGCCCGGAAGGTCCCAAATATTAGCTAACAACTCAGGACAAAACAGGCAGCCATATGTATATACTTACCGGCTTCCGATTCAAGAGAGGGTGCTGGAAACCCTTCCAATGTTCCTTCCGAACCACCTGAAAATGTCATTAGGATTATCCATCATTTCATATAGCCAGGGACAATCATATAATCTACTGGGAAGCAACATTCAGATTACAGTGATCAGGGCCAAGTCAGTATCTTCAAGTTTCATATGAAACAAAATTGGTAGCAATGAGAAGAAATACAATTATCTTTTAGCTGAAACAGCTTTTCAACCAAAAAAAAAGAAAAGAAAAGAAAAAGAAACCTAATGAATATTTCTACACAGCAACATTTTTGGGGGGTTATTTTTCCATTGGTTTAATGAATAACCAGAATATCAAAACTTATTTTTTCAGTAAATTTGTTTTGGTTTTGGTAAAAACAATTTTTTTTCCAGAAAATTTGTAGTGAAATATTTTTGATTTCTGGTATTTCGATGCTCAATCAATACATTGTTTCCCTCTCAAAAAGAAGACTTTCCCCCGTCATGATGGGAATGATCCTTTTCAGACATCAGCACTACAGTGTAGCACCATTCACTTCTCTCTCGCCTCACCACACAAGCACATATGCTAACTAATTCCACTTGTGTCATTGGAGTGAACATGGACTATAATGACCTACTTTCATCATCCATTGCGAATGCTAAACATGATTCTTTTTTTCCCTTAAAGATGCCAAAGAATATATCTGGAAAAAAAAAAAACAATTAGGAGAGTCAGCCATTTCACAGTTCATTGACAATAATTCAGTCCTTTAGGAAATAACCTTTAGGTCACAATGATTTAGGAGAAAAAAATATAGTGATGAAATTATAGCACATCCATTTCTGTCCACTCCCCACCAAGCTTATCACAAAATCTCTATCTTGTCACTATTTTCTTCATCCTATATTGAACATCCACTTAGCATGGCACGGTGTCCCCCCCGGAGGTGATTGGGACACTTCCAGATGTCACCTTTATTTATGGTTGAACTAGAGGTGGACAAAGTGACACTTGGAGTGGGAGTAGTTTATATGTCCCTTCCTCTATGTCTATATGGCTCAAACCATCATCTAGGCCTCATTACCCCCATTTGATTCATTGACTCATTAAATAAGGGGTTTTTAAACATATAAAATTATAAAACTATAGCGGATGGAAACATTTTGATCAACATATTTTTTCTGTCTGAAAATGTGGTTCATCAAAGTTGAAATCTTCCATAAGACTATGTCAGTTTTGACCTTTTTTTTAAAAAAAAAAAAAGTCCAGTCGGAAACTCTGAAAGGAAACAAACAACAAATCAACGCAATCTGACACTTTATTTCACTTTTTAGAAATATTTTTTTCCTATTTTTGGTGTTTGGATTGTCACTCTATTTTATAACCTTTTTCTCCCTTTTTCTTGTTCCACACCTTCTTCTTATTTTTTTTAAACTCACTGGAGAAAGTCGGGGGTGGGAGGATATAAAAAGACATGAGAAATGTCATGAGTAAAACCCAATTTTTCACACTTCTTTTACTATTTCCAACTAGAAAAAATTGACTATTTTTCCCACCAAAAATTGTGGTTTTCTGATCTCCCCTAATAAAAATTAAGAAGAGTCAGGTATCAGCCAATCTAGAACCTCTTCCATAAATTAAAATAGAATAAATAAATAAATAAATTAGTCTGCAGAACACAAAACACCTTCGCCCTCAGCAGCATACACACAGAGATGCCCTGTGGAGTGTGCTGTAAAAGTCCCTAGAGCTGGGTTATTTCAGACAAGTGCAGGAAGCTGGTTCTGGAGCTGATGAAGAAGACACCACTCTAGAGCAGTGGTTCCCAAACTTGTTCCGCCGCTTGTGCAGGGAAAGCCCCTGGCACGCCAGGACGGTTTGTTTACCTGCCGCGTCCGCAGGTTCGGCCGATCGCAGCTCCCACTGGCCACAGTTCGCCGCTCCAGGCCAGTGGTGGCTGCTGGAAGCGACGCGAGCTGAGGGACGTGCTGGCCGCCGCTTCCAGCAGCTCCCATTGGCCTGGAGCAGTGAACCACAGCCACTGGGAGTCGCAATTGGCCGAACCTGCAGATGCGGCAGGTAAACAAACCAGCCGGCCTGCCAGGGGCTTTCCCTGCACAAGCGGTGGAACAAGTTTGGGCACCGCTGCTCTAGAGGATCCCATCCGGCAGGACATACTACTGCAGTGCCTTTTTTATAAGGCACCTGTTCTGTTTAAGTTCAGGACCTGGACTCTGACTCCAGTGTGCTATGAGGACAGAAATTGTCATACCTTTTATGACTTTTTCATTTTCTGCTTTGCTGCCAATGCAACTTCCCCACAAACCTGAAAAGAAGAAGGAAAAGAGTATAAAATGATTTGACTGTCTGTTTACTAGGACAGGCTCTGCTTAGGGCTGATCAACATATTTTTTCTAATTATTTTTCAATAGAAAATTGGAGTTTCGACAAAAAGAAAATTTCAAAGAAAATGCCTGCTTTTATCAAATTTTTTTTTCATTAGAAAGCTGAGTTTTTATTTTTATTTATTTATGGTTGAAAATTGAAATGTTTTTGGTTTTCAGAAGGTTTTGGACAAATGTGTTTTGGTTTTCACTGGTTTGCCACTGAATTTTTTTATTGTTCAGGGTTTTTTTTTTTAGTGTTGTTTTGTTTTATGAAATGTCATACATTTCCACTGAAAATGTTGATAACAATTATATAATATTACATTTTCCACATTTCACTCATTGTTCTGTTCACTCCCTCTGAAGCATCTTGCACTGGCCACTGTCAGAAGCCAAGACACTGGACTAGACAGACCATTGGTCTGACCCAGTATGGCTGTTCTTATGTTTTTATTGAAATGAAATGTTTTGATTTACCTGAACCAAAATGTTTTTTGGATTTGTAGTTTGTGAAATTTTTTGAGATTTTGACTTTCTGTTCTAATTCAGGAAAGGAATTTCTATTGATAACTCAGAATTTTTCCCAGCACAGGAAAACCGTTTTCTGCCCAGCTCAACTATCTATATAAAAGCTCGATGTTATTATGTAGGGCATTCGTTGGATGTTAGAAGAGGTGAGTGAATGGAAGGAGGGATGAGAGGGGAAATGTAGATGGAATGAGAGGCTGGACACACTCCACACTGCTCTATAATATATGTAAATATTACTCCATTTTAGAATTACATGGTTGATTTGCGATATCTAGCCATTTAACCAGCATCAGTTCTCTCTATCTGCAGGGACATGAGCATTCACCTTGCAGGTAACTCATACTTTCCTCTTCTTTCTGATTCTTGAGCACCCCATTCTTGTATTCACTTCCAAAGTATTCCATGGGTACACTTGCTCCATAGCCAAGGAAACTGGCTTCATGGGGGGTGAACTCGAACCAGGTTTCTGAAAAATAAAAACAAAGAGTTTAGAAACATGCCCAGCAATAGTTTTATGGTTGCAGATGAATCGCCAGGAGGTACCCATAACTCAAACAACATCTACATTAATAAAGTTTCTTCCCATCCATGTTGTCCCATCTTCACATCCACTCTTGACTCCTATTCACATTCTGTATGAAGCTATTGGTCTGCACCTCCCAATCCCACACCACCCGTGTCTCAGTTCAGAGTTCTTACCACTGAAGCTGAGTAAATAACGCAATTTTATTTCAGGGGCTGAACCAAAAACTCTGGAGAAATATCCAGTTTGGTTCAAACTGAAAAAAAAAATCTATATTGTTGCCAAATTAAAAAAGTTTTAAAAAATCATTCTGAGTTGACCCAAAGTGAAACTTTGTTTTGTTTTATTCATTTCAAGTCACAGAAAACATTTTAGCCAATTCATTTTTTCCCTCCTTGATTCAGCTGTTTTCACTTATTTTTAATGGTCACATTTAAAATTTGAAAGACCCATTTTAAATTGAAAAGTAGAAACAAAATGATTTTGCTCTTTAGAAAATTTTTTCCCAACTGAAATTATCCATCATATTTAAAGTGAGCTCAACAAACAGGGATTCTGGAAATGCAGTTTTCGGTGAAAAATCAATGTAATTGAAAAAAATTCTCCTAGCTCTACTTGATCACCCCTTTTGCTCCACCACTGAACTCCCTACCTCCCCATTATCTTCTCCCATTGTCCTCTTAGTGCCATCTTCCAAGATGCCCCAGCCATGCAGAGTTCTCTTCATGTTCCAGAAAGCCCACATAATTCACTAATTCATCTGCAATTCCTCCTATTGTTTCCTACTGCATATAAGTCCCTCTGAACCCTCCCCGAAATGTGTAAACCACCACCTGGTCCCAAGCTCCATCCAAAATATAAGAGAAATACCGGGCAAGTCTAGGGCTGTGCAGAAGCCGTATTTCCCATTTCGAGGGAAATTCCACAGTTTTGACATTTGTTTTTGTTCTGAATTAGTTGGGGATTGGTCCTGCTTTGAGCAGGGGGTTGGACTAGATGACCTCCTGAGGTCCCTTCAAACCCTGATATTCTATGATTCTATGAATTGGATTGAAAACAAACCAGAAAAAAATCAAAATTTCCTGCAAAAAGAAAATTTAACACAATTATGGTTTGGGTCAATCAACAAAGTTTCATTTTGATTTTCACTTTTTGCTTCAGGTTAATTTATTATTTATAAAACCTGAAATAAAATAAATTTTGAATCCAAATGTCATGTTGAATCTAAAAATGGAAAGGCTTCATTTGGGTATTTTTCTATTTTTTTTTTTTTGGTCAAAACTGACACATTCCCATGTGAAGTTTTGATTTTGTTAGAACATTTTTGACCACCTCTAATCAAGCCTAAAAGTGAATGGAGAGATGGCTGGTGAGTTTCCTGTGACATTGTTCTTTCATGCGGCTGGAATTTTGCTGTGTTATTCATGATGTTAGCTTCCCACAGGCTTGAACAGGCATAATTTTATATCAATAAATAAATATCAAATAGCATACATAAAAATATCAAATATCAAAAAACCCTAAATCAAAATCAGTAAATAAGATAATAAAGTGTATCTCCACCTAAAAAGATATACTAATCTAAGAGGAAGGGAAAAAGAAAACACACGTGAGTTTGAATTTTGCTTACAAAAAGTTTTTGCACGAAAAGTAGCCTTTTTTCAAAACCAAAACTTACTGTCAGCAGTAGAAGATGTCACCTGAGGTTTAAGGTTATGTGACATTTTCTGCCATAGTTTTTACTCAACCTTTATGCAAAAATTGTATGGATTTGTTTCTCTGGTGCTTTTCTTAATGAAAATCAAGATTTTGCTAAAGAAAATAAAATTAAAGATATGTTTTTGATAAATGTCTCTGGGAGAAACAAGGGAAAAATACTGTGGAAAAAATTTATGAAACATGGAAAAAAGGCCCATTAACAACCAGACAAAGATTTAAAATTTTGAAATTTTTCACAGGTTTTTTTTTTCCATTTTTCAACCAGCTCTAAAGACAACCTTGATGTCTCTGCCTTGAGGAGTTGCATGTTGATATAATAAATCACAGGCTTCTTTACACTGAGATTAGCTGGAGATTTGTGTTTTTGGTTTTACCTGGAGAATATTCAGTTACTTTGCAGAAACTATGCTCATCCACAGCTGCATAGATAGGGTAGGGGTTATTTCCATTCTCAGACGCACCCCTCTGCTCTGACAAGTGCCCCATGTTCAGCTGTGAAGACAGGATTTTATAGGTTCAGACAAACACATGCCTAACTGAGACGATAGCTAGATGATGTGGAGTCTGCCTTCGGTTTCCCAAGTGCATAGATGAACTAAGTCAAGTAACTTCAATGAATTCAGTGGAGTCAGTCAGCATTGATACAGGTATAACTGATAACAGCCCTTCCTCAATGGCTAAGTGGTCAAGCCATTAGCCTAGGACTTCCCCGGCAGACTCCCTGCAGGGATGGCACAATGCACAGAGATCCAGAAAATCCACTCAAATATGTTCTGGGTGGAACCCAAAACCTGTTCAGAGAGATTTCACACATCTCCCCTACACTGAACACTAAGCCCGGGTTCTGACTCAGGTGTGAGCCCAAGACCTGCTTCAATGCATGCACAAATCCATCTGACTTGGCTTAACATGCCCTCAGGACCCATGCCCTCTGACCTTAGTCGAGGAGTGGGTCAGAACCAGAGTCTCACAGTGACTTAGGTCCAAGCCCTGTCACAGAATCATAGAATATCAGGGTTGGAAGGGACCTCAGGAGGTCATCTAGTCCACCCCCCTACTCAAAGCAGGACCAATCCCCAACTAAACCATCCCAGCCAGGAGGTTTTTAAGGTCAGGCTTGACAAAGCCCTGGCTGGGATGGTTTAGTTGGGGATTGGTCCTGCTTTGAGCAGGGGGGTGGACTAGATGACCTCCTGAGGTCCCTTCCAACCCTGATATTCTATGATTCTATGATTCTATGATAAGGAGATTTCACCACCTCCCTAGGTAACCCATTCCAATGCTTCCCCACCCTCCTAGTGAAAAAAGTTTTTCTTATTATCCAACCTAAACCCCCCCACTGCAACTTGAGACCATTACTCCTTGTTCTCTCATCTGCTACCATTGAGAACAGTCTACATCCATTCGCTTTAGAACCCCTTTTTGGGTAGCTGAAAGCAGCTATCAAATCCCCCCCCCCCCATTCTTCTCTTCTGCAGACTAAATAATCCCAGTTCCTTCAGCCTCTCCTCGTAAGTCATGTGCTCCAGCCCCCTAATCATTTTTGTTGCCCTCCACTGGACTCTTTCCAATTTTTCCACATCCTTGTAGTATGGGACCAAAAACTGGACACAGTACTCCAGATGAGGCCTCACCAATGCCGAATAGAGGGGAATAGAGTCCTTTGAGCTGCTGGCAATACTCTTACTTATACAGCCCAAAGTGTCATTAGCCTTCTTGGCAACAAGGGCACACTGTTAACTCATCCAGCTTCTCGTCCACTGTAACCCCTAGGTCCTTTTCTGCAGAACTGCTGCCTAGACACTCGGTCCCTTATCTGTAGCAGGGCATGGGATTCTTCCGTCCTAAGTGCTGGATTCTGCACTTGTCCTTGTTGAACCTCATCAGATTTCTTTTGGCCCAATTCTCTAATTTGCCTAGGTCCCTCTGTATTCTATCCCTACCCTTCAATGTATCTACCACTCCTCCCCAGTTTAGTGTCATCTGCAAACTTGCTGAGGGTGAAATCCACGCCATCCTGCAGATCATTAATGAAGATATTGAACAAAACCGGCCCCAGGACCGACCCTTGGGGCACTCCACTTGATACCGGCTGCCAACTAGATATGGAGCCATTGATCACTACCCGTTGAGCCTAACAGTCTAGCCAGCTTTCTATCCACCTTATAGTCCATTCATTGAGCCCATATTTTTTTAACTTGCTGGCAAGAATACTGTGGGAGACCATGTCAAAAGCTTTGCTAAAGTCAAGGAATAACACATCCACTGCTTTCCCCTCATCCACAGAGCAGTTATCTCATCATAGAAGGTAATTAGGTTAGTCAGGCATGACTTGCCCTCGGTGAATCCATGCTGACTGTTCCCAATCACTTTCCTCTCCTCGAAGTGCTTCAGAACTGATTTCTTGAGGACCTGCTCCATGATTTTTCCAGGGACTGAGGTGAGGCTGACTGGCCTGTAGTTGCCAGGATCCTCCTTCTTCCCTTTTTTAAAGATGGGCATTACATTAGCCTTTTTCCAGTCATCTGGGACCTTCTCCAATTGCTGTCGTTTTGCAGTGTGGACGCAAATCAAGCCACAGACCCAAGTCAGAAGGTTGGGTAGTGCAGTATGACCTCATTAGCATGTTTGTGACACCTGGGTCTGGCAGCTGTAAGTACGTCTGCACTGCAAAGAGAAACCCACGGCACCGAGTCTCAGAGTCTGGGTCAATTGACTTGGGTTTTGGGGGCTTGGTTGGTGGGACTTAAAACACTAGTGGAGACATTCTCCTTTGGGCTGGAGCCCAGGGTCCGAGACCTGCCCCCATTGCCGGGTTTCAGAGCACAGGCTCCAGCCCAAGTGGAAACACCTACACTGCTATTTTTAGCCCAGAATCCAGAGCCTCAGGAGTCCAAGTCAATTGACCCAGGCTCTGAGACTCAGCGCTGCATGTTTTTCTTTGCAGTGTAGACGTAACCTTTAAGCCCAGGTTTACCCTGCAGGGTGGACACTCCACCCCGGGCTTGGAAATGCCAAGTATACCAGCCTGGGTCCCACAGATCCAGATTTACAATGCAGTATATACATACCTTGTATGGCCTTGAGCAAGTCAAGCCAGGCCAGTTTTTAAAAGGTATTTAGGCACTTGGTGGGATTTTCAAAATCATGTAGGCACCTAAAGCCCATTGAAATCAATGGTGCTAGGTGCCTGCGTGCTCATCTTACAAGGTGATGTCTTTACAAATCTGACTCTGGGATGCTCCATGCCTCAGTTTCCCCTCTATACACTTCCCAACCTCAAATAAATGTTTTGAGGATAAACACACTTCATGAAGTGCCCTGATACTTCAGTGATGGGGGCCAGACAAGGACCTTAGAAAGTTACAAAAGGGAAAGTTTTTCACCCACCTCATGTAACATGCCATAGACCACAGTGTAGGCCCAGAACTCAGTCAGGGAATACTTTTCATCCTTAGCTGCCTCGAGTAGCATTTCCGTGGCCTTTCCAAGGTGCCAGTTGGATTTGGTAAGTGCATCACACATGCATTTCTCCAAGGCCTGCAATTTCTCTGCCCAGTCCCCATTTTTGTAGAGAGAGGACATACACCTATTACAGAGACAAAACACACACTGCAAGGGGAATGGAATATGGGCTATTTTCCCCAGCCCTTTCAATCTCTACACGGTTATTTATTTATTATCCTTCTATCATTGCAATGCACCTGTAAGCCACAAGGATTGCGTGGCTGGCTAGCTGCTGTGGAAAGCCATGGCCTCAGCAGAGATAAAATTCAGGTCCCCCAAACCCTTACCAGATTACGCAAAAGGAGAATTTCCATTAGCAATATGCAGGGTCCATGACACACAGTTTGAACAGCTCTGATTACACCCAGGACATTTGTAACATCTACAGACCCGTCCAGCCCATCATGACTCTGCTGCCCTAATATTGACGTCAGTGGGACCTTTTGTGAAGAAAGGTCGGGAGGGGAAAGATGGTTCAGTGTTTAGGGCGCTAGCCTACAACTTGGGAAATGTGTGTTCCACTCTCTGCTCTCCTACAGATTATACCCCAGCCACTAATTCTCCCTGAGCCCTGGTTCCCCATAGAAAAAGGGGAGACAGGCACTTCCCTACCTCATGGGGTGCTGTGGAAATAAATACGGCGGTGCTCAGATGCTATGTTAATGGGGACGGAGGTGCAGATAAGTACCTATGATAATTAGGAAGTTGCCCGCTGGTGTCAGTCTCCTGTTGAATTATACCAACAGCTGAGTGCCTGACTCCCTTAGGCTCCTGTGTCTATTGCTACTCCCTGTAAGGCTGTCAGTGTGTGGTCCTGTTAGATCAGCTGGATGTTCTGAAGGACAGTCTCCTTCTCCACTAGGAAACTAACTCTCCACCCTATCCTATAATCTTGATATGATTGTTGTCTCCTTTCCACCTGGATTTCGCCCTCTTGTTTTACATCCAGTGACTTGTTCCTGTTTAACGACCCCTAGTTATGTCCATTTCTCACTATTCCCATGGCACAAACCATTGTAAACCTTCCCCTCTTTCAGGACAACTAGAATAAGGGACAACAGAAGGTACTAGGCACCGTTCTGCTATCCTGCTTTCAGCACTAATGCCAACAACAAGTGTGCCAAAAATCACAAGTCAGGTCGCAGAAAATTCTGAGATTGGCTTAAAAATCATGAGATTTATTTTAAAAATGTGGGTTCTTTTTATTTGCCTCTTGGCATTTTTGCTGGTAGGGTTCATATTTCCAAGTGTCTCTCCACAACCACCGGGGCTAGAAACTTATGCTTCATAATATCATGAGAGCTGATGACTGGTTTACATTAGCCTGTCAGGTCAGCATAATTGTGTTGCTCGTGGGGAGGGGTGGGGGGAGAATCCATACTCCAGAGCGGCATAGTTAAGCCAACTTAAGTCCCTATGTAGGCAGTGCTAGGTTGAGGGAAGAATTCGTTTGTTAGCTTAGATATGGTCTCTCAAGAAGCTGGATTACCCACACCAATGGGAGAACCTCTCCCCCTGCTCTAGGCAGTGTCCATCCTGAAGTGCTACAGCAACACAACTGCAGATTCACAATAACATTGCAAGAGCTATAAATATTAAATTAGAACTATAGGGCTGGGCACCTATCACTTTTGCCCATGTAGAAATCTTAGGAGGGTCAGACCTAAAAGGCACGTCCACACAAGCTCTGCGTCTGTGAACCTGGGGCTTGAGCATCTACAGTCATTTGTAACCCCGGGTTTGGATCTGTTGAACTCTGGTCCCGACATGGGGCTCCAGAGTCTACACTGCACTATGCGGGACTGAATTCAGCCACCCATATCCCAGACTTTCTAGCGTCCTCCCAAAATGTGGCTGCATTAGCCCTTTGTTTGTGAAGCAGTGTGGGAAAAACTTGACTGTCCACCAAACCTGACTGTCCAGAGGATGGAGGAAGCTGGCCTGTGGGACATCTCTGGTGGACTCCCAGAGCATGAGTCCAGTGGGACTGTTTCTAGACTGCAAAGCAATAGGGCTTGAACCCTGAGTTCTGCCTTGATTCAGGCTCAGACCCTACACTCTCATGGAGCCCTGGGACTCTGGCTCTAAGCCCTGGGTTAGCATGATTTGGTATAGATGGAAGAGGGCTTGAACTTGAGCCTGAGTTTGAACCCTGGGCTTACACTGCAGTGTAGACATACTCGCACATTCTCACCTCCTCAGGAAATGGACAGACAGTGTTTTCCTATTGGTCATGGAGTATCCAGCATGTCCTTTGGCTAATAATAACAATGGCAAGAATTGTCTCTGGCTGTCAGTTCTATAATGGGATACACTTTCACTCACACTTCTCTTGGCATGTGCCTACCATGTTGCACCTGAGACCCCACACAGGTACATGATGGTGTCCAGTAGACCATGCTTTTGTAGCTCCTGCAGGGTTCCATGAAGGGCGATCATGGCCCGCAGACCTCCCCCAGCTCCCAGCACGGCAATATTGGGCACATCTTCCTGAGGTAGCGAAAAGACACAACAACATATAAACTGGGATTACTGAGGAATCTCCCTTGCTCATGTAAATTACTTGTGTGGTATCTAAAGTCACACACCTGCCATTTCCACCTGGGACAACCCCCGTCACATAGTTTAAAAGAGTATCTTGTAGGACCCAATCTTTCAAGTGTTTACAGCTGTGAGTGGCTTTATTTACATGGGTAGCTCCACTGGCTTAAATGCGACAACTCCCATGAGTAAATTTACTCACAAGCTTTCCTGATTGCCGCAACGAGTTCTGATTCTACCTCCTGAGCTACAAGAATAACTGCAATAGCTGCTACAGTATATGATATATACTCGTAAGACGGGCTCCATCTTACGAAGAGAGGGAAGAGCATCTTTGCGAGCAGGCTGGCTAACCTAGTGAGGAGGGCTTTAAACTAGGTTCACTGGGGGAAGGAGACCAAAGCCCTGAGGTAAGTGGGGAAGTGGGATACCGGGAGGAAGCACAGGCAGGAATGTCTGTGAGTGGAGGGTTCCTGCCTCATACTGAGAATGAGGGGCGATCAGCAGGTTATCTCAAGTGCTTATATACGAATGCACAAAGCCTTGGAAACAAGTAGGGAGAACTGGAGGTCCTGGTGATGTCAAGGAAGTATGACGTGATTGGAACAACAGAGACTTGGTGGGATAACTCACATGACTGGAGTATTGTCATGGATAGTTATAAACTGTTCAAGAAGGACAGGCAGGGCAGAAAAGGTGGGGGAATAGCACTGTATGTAAGGGAACAGTATGACTGCTCAGAGCTCCGGTACGAAACTGCAGAAAAACCTGAGTGTCTCTGGATTAAGTTTAGAAGTGTGAGCGACAAGAGTGATGTTGTGGTGGGAGTCTGCTATAGACCACTGGACCAGGGGGATGAGGTGGACTAGGCTTTCTTCCGGCAACTCGCAGAAGCTACTAGATCGCACGCCCTGGTTCTCATGGGTGACTTTAATTTTCCTGATATCTGCTGGGAGAGAAATACAGCGGTGCATAGAAAATCCAGGAAGTTTCTAGAAAGCATAGGGGATAATTTCCTGGTGCAAGTGCGAGACGAGCCAACTAGGGGGGGAGCTTTTCTTGACCTGCTGCTCACAAACCGGGAAGAATTAGTGGGGGAAGCAAAAGTGGATGGGAATCTGGGAGGCAGTGACCAAGAGTTGGTTGAGTTCAGGATCCTGACACAGGGAAAAAAGGTAAGCAGCAGGATACGGACCTTGGACTTCAGGGAAGCAGACTTCGACTCCCTCAGGGAACGGATGGGTAGGATCCCCTGGGGGACTAACATGAAGGGGAAAGGAGTCCAGGAGAGCTGGCTGTATTTCAAGGAATCCCTGTTGAGGTTACAGGGACAAACCATCCCGATGAGTCGAAAGAATAGTAAATATGGCAGGTGACCAGCTTGGCTTAATGGTGAAATCCTAGCGGATCTTAAACATAAAAAAGAAGCTTACAAGAAGTGGAAGATTGGACTTAGGACCAGGGAAGAGTATAAAAATATTGCTCGGGCATGTAGGAATGAAATCAGGAGGGCCAAATCGCACCTGGAGCTGCAGCTAGCGAGAGATGTTAAGAGTAACAAGAAGGGTTTCTTCAGGTATGTTGGCAACAAGAAGAAAGCCAAGGAAAGTGTGGGCCCCTTACTGAATGAGGGAGGCAACCTAGTGACAGAGGATATGGAAAAAGCTAATGTACTCAATGATTTTTTTGCCTCTGTCTTCACTAACAAGGACAGCTCCCAGACTGCTGCGCTGGGCATCACAGCATGGGGAGTAGATGGCCAGCCCTCTGTGGAGAAAGAGGTGGTTAGGGACAATTTAGAAAAGCTGGACATGCACAAGTCCATGGGGCCGGACGAGTTGCATCCGAGAGTGCTAAAGGAATTGGAGGCTGTGATGGCAGAGCCATTGGCCATTATCTTTGAAAACTCGTGGCAAACGGGGGAAGTCCCACATGACTGGAAAAAGGCTAATGTAGTGCCAATCTTTAAAAAAGGGAAGAAGGAGGATCCTGGGAACTACAGGCCAGTCAGCCTCACCTCAGTCCCCAGAGAAATCATGGAGCAGGCCCTCAAAGAATCAATCCTGAAGCACTTACATGAGAGGAAAGTGTTCAGGAACAGTCAGCATGGATTCACCAAGGGAAGGTCATGCCTGACTAATCTAATCGCCTTCTATGATGAGATTACTGGTTCTGTGGATGAAGGGAAAGCAGTGGATGTATTGTTTCTTGACTTTAGCAAAGCTTTTGACATGGTCTCCCACAGTATTCTTGTCAGCAAGTTAAAGAAGTATGGGCTGGATGAATGCACTATAAGGTGGGTAGAAAGTTGGCTAGATTGTCGGGCTCAAGGGGTAGTGATCAATGGCTCCATGTCTAGTTGGCAGCCGGTGTCAAGTGGAGTGCCCCAGGGGTTGGTCCTGGGGCCAGTTTTGTTCAATACCTTCATAAATGATCTGGAGGATGGTGTGGATTGCACTCTCAGCAAATTTGTGGATGATACTAAACTGGGAGGAGTGGTAGATACGCTGGAGGGCAGGGATAGGATACAGAGGGATCTAGACAAATTGGAGGATTGGGCCAAAAGAAATCTGATGAGGTTCAATAAGGATAAGTGCAGGGTCCTGCACTTAGGACGGAAGAACCCAATGCACAGCTACAGACTAGGGACCGAATGGCTAGGCAGCAGTTCTGCGGAAAAGGACCTAGGGGTGACAGTAGATGAGAAGCTGGATATGAGTCAACAGTGTGCCCTTGTTGCCAAGAAGGCCAATGGCATTTTGGGATGTATAAGTAGGGGCATAGCCAGCAGTTCGAGGGACGTGACCGTTCCCCTCTATTCGACATTGGTGAGGCCTCATCTGGAGTATTGTGTCCAGTTTTGGGCCCCACACTACAAGAAGGATGTGGATAAATTGGAGAGAGTCCAGCGAAGGGCAACAAAAATGATTAGGGGTCTGGAATACATGACTTATGAGGAGAGGCTGAGGGAACTGGGATTGTTTAGTCTGCGGAAGAGAAGAATGAGGGGGGATTTGATAGCTGCTTTCAACTACCTGAGAGGTGGTTCCAAAGAGGATGGTTCTAGACTATTCTCAGTGGTAGAAGAGGACAGGACAAGGAGTAATGGTCTCAAGTTGCAGTGGGGGAGGTTTAGGTTGGATATTAGGAAAAACTTTTTCACTAGGAGGGTGGTGAAACACTGGAATGCGTTACCTAGGGAGGTAGTAGAATCTCCTTCCTTAGAAGTTTTTAAGGTCAGGCTTGACAAAGCTCTGGCTTCGATGATTTAATTGGGGATTGGTCCTGCTTTGAGCAGGGGGTTGGACTAGATGACCTCCTGAGGCCCCTTCCAACCCTGATATTCTATGATTCTATGATTCTATGATACTGTTAATTATCAGAACTGCTTGAAAATATTTCAACAGAGGGGTTTTGTTTGTTGATTTATTTGGGAGTTTGGGGGACAAAAAATACATTCTTAATTAAAAGGAATTTTTAATTGATACATGTTGGGGGTTTTGCCCAAAACCTGGGGGGAAAAATCATTGTTTAACAACCAAAAACTTCAAAATACATATGTTTGACACCAGTGCCACAATATGTTTGGTTTTAGGAAACAGAAAAAAAAAATCAGATTTGAGGTTTTAAAAGATTTTTTTTAAAAAAATCTGTGAAATAAAAATCAATATAAACAAAAAAAAATAGAAAATAAAATATATTTCCCGATCTTTTCTGTCATTTATATTTTAAGTTCATTCCAATTTAGCAAATCTCTTAAATGTGCACTTAATTTTAGCCATTTACTGAAGTCCCATTGGCTTCAATTTGTTTTATTCTAAAAGCCTTGAAAAAAAAACCAAACAGGAACACACACACACACAAAAACAACTTTTTGATGAACACATTTTCACCAGCTCTTCATGAGTAATCATTACCATTGTCAATGTTCCTCTACAATTCAATAAAACATTAATGGACTCCTACCAGATTACAGGGAATCCCAAGGCTATCCAGGCATTTCTTCACCTGCACCTTTCTGTTGCTTGTCCCTAGTTTTTCCCCTTCTGACAGCTCATAGGAAATTCGGACTTTACCTTCACCCTGGTAAAAAAAAAAATGTCAAGAGAATGTATCATCTCTGAAAAATCTGCCAGGGATGGGACAATGCACAGAGATCCAGAAAATCCATTCAAGCAAGTTCCGGGTGGAAGCCAAAGCCTGTTTAGAGAGATTTCACACATCTCCCCTACTCTGGAACAATGGGGAAATCTCCATGAGGAAAAGGAGAGACAAGGTGGATGAGGTGATCTCTTTTATTAGAGCAACTTCTATTGGTGACAGAGACAAGCATTCAAGCTCCACACAGCTCCTCTTCAAGTCTGGGAAAGGTACTCCAAGTGCCACAGTCAAATACAAGGTGGAACAACTTGCTAAACATAAAGAGTTAACACATGTTGCAAGAAATCACTCCAAGTCTCATATCCTGGGACCAACATGGCTGTAAGTCCAATGCAAATAACTATGAGAAGAAACTCATGGACACTTTCCAACACTTCCCCCGCTTTTCTCCACCACCACACTGGGTGGTGAATAGACCCACTGACTGCAGCAGGAACACATGAAAGAATAGATTTCACGTGCGTCATCCGCACTGCACTACATAATGCCTTCTCCCCACCCTCCACAAAATAATCAAACATGGTAGTGGCAGTGATGATGGCAGGGCTCAGCTTGGTCCCCACACTTGGTCCCCAATTTCTCTCCTGCTAGTAATAGCTCACCTTACCTCATCACTCTCGTTACAGTATGTATGGTAACACCCATTGTTTCATGTTCTCTATGTATATAAAATCTCCCCACTGTATTTTCCACTGCATGCATCTGATGAAGTGAGCTGTAGCTCACAAAAGCTTATACTCAAATAAATGTGTTAGTCTCTAAGGTGCCACAAGTCCTCCTTTGCTATTCTGAAACCTGTCATTATGCAATGCACTAAATTTCAGAATAATTTGAACAAAAAAATCTAGAGATGAAATTATTTGGTCACCCTTCATATTATAAATAGTAAATAGATATTAGTAGAATATGGCTTAGTAGCATTCATCACCATGTATTTTTGAGAGGTTTCCATGCCCCATTTAGGGCTTATGTCAAGCCCTCCATCCCCGTTTCCATTGGCGCTGAAGTTTGGTGCCATTGGCCATTTTGAAAAAATGTTATGTTTGAATAGGGAGAGTATTGTGTGTTTGTGCCTTGATACCTATAGAGCAAAAGGTTGAAAGAACAGAGTGAGATAATTTAAAGATAAATAAGAAAGTTTGGGTAAGGTTTAGAGGAAAAAAGGAAAGAAAGGTTATTTGGTGAGGTTGAGTGAGGAGAGATGATTTTAAAGGCCTACTTTGGCATGTTATTAAAGAATAGAAAATTTTGAGATAAATGTAAAAGGTGTATTAAATATAAGGGCAGGTTAAGAAAAGAACATTTAAAAAAGTTAAATAAAAGAGAAAACTAGGTTTAAAAAGAACACACATGGCCAAAAAAGGAAATTTACTAAGGCAGAGCCTGTTTAGTAAGCATATGGTAAAAACCGTAAAGGGTGGTTAAGAAAAACACAATTAAACTATTAAATATCAGGGTAGATTAAGAAAAGAGCATTTAAAACATTAAATAATATTGAAAACTAGGTTTAAAAAGAGAATTTACTAAGGCAAAGCCTGTTTAGTAAGCACATGGTAAAAATTATAAAGGGTAGCTAATAAAAAACATTTAAACTATTAAATATCAGGATAGGTTAAGAAACATTAAATTTAAAACATTAAATAATATTAAAAATATTAAATAACATTAAAAACTATAAAGCTAGGTTTAAAAGGGAATTTACTAAGGCAAAGCCTGTTTAGTAAGCACATGATAAAAACTATAAAAGCAGGTTAAGAAAAACAAAATTAAACTATTAAATATCAGGGTAGGTTAAGAAAAAGCATTTAAAACATTAAATAATATTGAAAACTAGATTTAAAAAGAACACACATGGCCAAAAAAGGAAATTTACTAAGGCAGAGCCTGTTTAGTAAGCACATGCTAAAAAGTTAATAGAAAAGCATTTAAACTATGAAATACAAGGGTAGGTTCAGAAAACATAAGCATTTAAAAAGAATTAAATAAGAGATAAATATATAAAGAGAGATTAAAAGACAGAACTGGGCAAGAAAAGGGAACAGAAAGCCCCTTTGCAAAGGGCAAAGATAGACAGCACATGGTTTAATCAGAGAGAGAAATCTTACCATCCCAAGTCTTTCTGCAGAATGAACCAACTTTCCAGGGCTAGAACCCCTCAGACTTGTTATAACCACCTTTGGAACGGACCAATCAGATGTTGTTCTACAGCAGCGTCATAGAATTCATTTTCCTGAACCAATCCTAGAGTCCCAAGATTTTAGACAAGAGCCAACTCCCTTCTCTCCCCTCCCTCCCCTTTAACTACCTTATTCTTATCCAGACCCTATGAATTTTTCCCACGATATAGCACTTTTACATAGGTGTTTTAATAAAAGTTAAAACCATAAGCTTTTAGTAACAAACAATTTTTAAAAGTTTTCTCCTATGTTTTAGACTAACAAGGGTTATTTTTTAGTAAGCACAATTTGAAGTCACACCTGTGTTGTGCTCAGTTAAAAGTTAATATATGTATTTTTTTCAAATAGGACGAGGCCTTTTTTCTTGACATACCAGATTCTGCACTAGAAGTTTTAAATTTGGTAAGATGATTAATATGCTACACAATTATGGTTTATTTTTAAAAGAAATGGTTTTAAGGAGTTTGTTTTTTTCAATTTAGAACAAGATGGATGTTAAAACCAACAGATAGGTTTTCCTGAGATTACAGAAGACGGTATGAACTGGTTTTTAAATATGTGTTTGAAATAACGGTTATTGGAAATAGTGTACATTTTTCTAGGGGTTGTGCATTAACACGTGTATTGGGAACTATGTTTGTTGTTGTTAGTGAAAAAGAAGCTGCCTTTGCCCCAAAGATTCTACTGTAAAAACGTTTTGCTGGCAGTTGTTGAGAATTTGGAGCTGTACTGCACCCGTGTTTCTGCATGCTCTTTTTTTATTACAACATATGCAAAAGTACTAAAATCAAGGGCTGTTTCTTCATATAAGTTTGTCTTTTCAAGTGATTATTCCTTTACAAAACTTAAGATAACTTTCACTTGTATTTGTTGAAAAGCAGGTGAAGAAGCAGCCTTCTTATCTCTGATCCACTGACTCACAGACGCTGGTTTTGCAACAAGAAAAGGAGTACTTGTGGCACCTTAGAGACTAACCAATTTATTTGAGCATAAGCTTTCGTGAGCTACAGCTCACTTGTAGCTCACGAAAGCTTATGCTCAAATAAATTGGTTAGTCTCTAAGGTGCCACAAGTACTCCTTTTCTTTTTGCGAATACAGACTAACACGGCTGTTACTCTGAAACCTGGTTTTGCAACAGTGGCTTTGCTGGAAAAGCATGCTGCTTCCAATTGTTTTTACTAAAAAATAACCCATATTAGTCTAAAACGTAGAAGAAAATGCTTTTATCACTGTAATTTATTTTTATAAACAGGTTCTCTGTGTTTTTAACCCTGGAATGTTTCTGCATTCTCACTTTTACTGAAACATATGCAAAAGTGCTGAATGAAGGGATGTGTCTTCATATAGGCTTGTCTTTTCAAGTGTTTATTCCTTTACAAGACTTAATATAACTTTCACCTCTATTTGTTAAAAAGTGGGGGAAGAAACAAACTTCTTCTCTGTAATCCACTGGTTTACAGAATAAGGGGAATATAAACTGGCTGTTACTAAGTCCTGTGGTTTTAAACCTGTCGTGTTTCTGCATGCTCTATTTTATTGAAACATACCTGTAAATAAAGGGATGTGACTTCATATAGACTTGTCTTTTAAAGTAAATATAAAGCAAAGCTTTATTCCTTTACAAAACTTACTGTAACTTTTACTTGCATTTGTTAAAAAGTTTGGGAAAGAAGCAACCTTCTTATCCCTGGTTTCAGAGTAACAGCCATGTTAGTCTGTCTTCGCAAAAAGAAAAGGAGTACTTGTGGCACCTTAGAGACTAACCAATTTATTTGAGCATAAGCTTTTGTGAGCTACAGCTCACTTCATCGGATGCATACTGTGGAAAATACAACACTGTTTTTGCTGACAGGGACTTTGCTGCAGCTTCAAGCTGTGCTTACTAAAAAATAGCCCATGTTGGTCTAAAACATAGGGAAAAGCTTTTTAAAAGTGTTTGTTACTAAAAGCTTGTGGTTTTAACTTTTATTAAAGCCCCTATGTAAAAGGGCTACATGGCAGGAAAAATGCTTGGGGTCTGCTTTTTTAGATAAGAATAAGGCAGTTAAGGGGGAGGGAGGGGAAGGAAGGGAGTTGGCTCTTGTCTAAAATCTCGGGACTCTAGGATTGGTTCAGGAAAATGAATTATATGACGCTGCTATAGAACAACATCTGATTGGTCCGATCCAAAGGCGGTGTTAACAAGTCTGAGGGGCAGTAAACCTGGGAAGTTGCTTCATTTGGCAGAAAGACTGGAAGGGTAAAAGCTTTCTCTCTCTTTCTCTCTGATTCAGAGCTGACCACGTGCTGTCTATCTTTGCCCTTTGCAAAGGGGCTTTCTTTTCCCTTTTGTTGCCCTGTTCTCTCTTTTAACCTCTCTTTATATGTTTCTCTTTTATTTAACTCTTTTTAAAAGCTTTTTTTTTTCTGAACCTACTCTTGTATTTAATAGTTTAAATGCTTTTCCATTAACTTTTTTAGGATGTGCTTACTAAACAGGATCTGCCTTAGTAACTTAACTAGGCTGACAAACCGTCCTCTACAATCGAAGCACTGAGCTCATATATATGGCAAAAGTATAACAAGTTTATTGATAAAAGGACACAGGTTTAAGTGATACCAAGTATTACCCTGGCAGACCAGGTGCCAGCTCACGCCAAGGACTCCTGGCCACAACTGAACACTGACAGTGCACAGCTGGAAACCAGGCTGGCAGATATCAAACCTGGGAGATAAGAGAGTGACTCGGAGCCCGGACTAAGCAATATATGCAGAGACCCATGCAGTAATCTCACTCATTACATCTGAAGCCCATGTGATAAGGTAAAATGCATATATTTGCTCTGTAACTATAGAAGTGTTTGCTCTGGAGCTATAAATCTGAGAAGCATTATCGGATGTGAAATATTAGTTTGCCCAAGGAGGGGTTATCCCCTGCCCAGTGAAAGAAGGCCCATAGACATCAAACAAGCCATTGTGAAACCTCAGAGGACAAAGGAGTTTGCTGATTGCTCCCCCAACACCCCTGAAGGACGTCCCATCAGCTCAGACTCTAAAGCAATAACAAGAGACTCTAAAGAGATAAAAATCCCCTGACAAGGGGAATTTGTGGTCTCTATGCTGCTTGAGATTTGGGAGAGCACAAAATGTCTCAGCACAAGCAAAAAATCCCCAGCTGTTTTGCCTGGGTTAGTCCTAGAGGAGATATAGAGGTGGCATATAATAGCTGCTCTATCAACTTTTTAAACCTAAGACTAGCATTCATGTGGTGTGTGTGTGTTACCTGCTTTAACTTTGTCAATAACACTCTTCCTTCTTTTTCTCAGTTAATAAATCTTTAGATATTTTACTGCAGGACGAGCTTCAAGTCTTTGGTGCAAGATCTAAACTGCAATTGGCCTGGGGAAAGTGACTGGTCCTTTGGGACTGGAAGTAACAATAATATTTTTGTGATTTGTGGTATAAGGTCCCATCTATCACAAAGGCAGGCTTGCCTGGGTGGCAAGATAGACCAGAGTGCCCAAGGGGACTGTCTGTGATGCCATGGTCATGCTGTCATAGTGCCTGAGGAGTTTATACTTGAGAGTTGGTTGGTGAAATCTAAATATACAACTCACAACCCACTGGGGTTTGGACTTTGCTTTGGACAATCTGCCCTGAGGTTGGTACTCACACCCTTGAGACACTCCAGGAAGTGTGAAATCAGGTATAAGGAATAAGGACAGAAATGGTTACAAACAAACAAAAGTCAAAACACTCTCCTAAGACTAAAACTCAACAGATTAGAGTTTGAGGTTCAAAGAAGTTGTTTTAACTGCAGTCTTTCTTCCAGCATGTCTGGCCCATCCTTTAGCCAGGAGCCAACACACGGAGCTCAAACAGCTGGCTTTCTTTACCTGCTCAGGTGAAAGATGCCAAAATGACTTTTTTTCTTTCTGCTTATAGCCTCAACGTTATGTCTTTGTTTTCAAAGTCAGGAAGCCCCTCTGAAGCTCAGCTTGCCGTGTTCATCCAGGCACTGATAACAGCTTAATTTCTGTCATCTCCTCCCGCCATTGTGTTAGTTAGTGGATACTGCACACACTTACTAGTTTAATGGTTTTATTTTCCTTTTTATGTAAATATACTTTCATTATCTCTCCTGGCTCAATTTATATTGGAGACACATTTAAACAGCCAGGTCAACAATTCTTTGTCTAGGCCTCAGTGACTTCAATCTCATGTTCCAAACACATTTTCAGGACAGGTGTCAGGGTTCTCTCCCCATTCTGAACTCTGCGATACAGATGTGGGGACCCGCATGAAAGACCCCCCTACGCTTATTTCTACCAGCTTAGGTTAAAGCTTCCCCAAGGCACAAATCCTTTCCTTGTCCTTGCTGCCACCACCAAGTGATTTAGACAAAGATCCAGGAAAAGGGGCCACTTGGAGTCCCTGTTTCCCCAAAATATTCCCCCAAGTCCCTTCACCCCCTTTCCTGCGGAGGCTTGAGAATAATATACTAACCAATTGGTTACAAAGTGAGCACAGACCAAACCCCTGGATTTTTAGGACACTGAAAATTAATCAGATTTTTAAAAGAAGAATTTTATTTTTTTTTTAAGTAAAAGTAAAATCTGTAAAATCAGGATGGAAGGTAATTTTACTGGGTAAATAAAAAGATTTAAAACACAGAGGATTCCTCTCTAACTCTGTCTTCCAGTTACAAAATAGGAATAAAATTACTTCTTAGCATAGGGAAAATTCACAAGCTAAAACAAAAGATAATCAATTCACATATCTTTTAAAGAGATGGTTTATATGCTTGGTCTCTCCCTCTATCCAGAGAGGGAACAAACAAAGAGAGCACAAACAAAACCAACCCTCCCCCCCCGCCCCAGATTTGAAAGTATCTTCTTTCCTTATTGGTCCTTTTGGTCACCAGGTGTCACCAGGTTATTTTAGCTTCTTAACCCCTTTCAGGTAAAGTGATTCTGTACCTCTGGCCAGGAGGGATTTTAT